GCGTTCCATCTCGCGAGCAAACACTCTTCCGAAGACCTTCCGAGATCCTTCTTCTCCCCTTCGTCTTCTTCCGGATGAGTTGCTCCGTTCTCTCGAAACGCTCTCGTACTCGTCGCGAATGCCACGTGAATCTCCTTCTTTATCTCTTATACGGTTATACCGAGCTCATTCCTCGTAGAATCCTCGCGAGTTTTCTTTTTTCCTCGATACATTGGGGGGATTTTTTTTTATGACAGCGGGATTATTTAAATAGACGTAAATGTTTGAAATTAGAGTCTGGTGTATAGGGATATATGATTTCTGTTTGGTATATAAATTGTTAAATATAAATTGTTTGTTCTTTGTTAGCTTGTTGTTATTGTAGTGACGTTATACTAGTTTTATCACAGCTTTTATTTTACAAATATTCAATTTATTAACTGTCTGAAATGAGCTTAATCGTCTTGTGAGATTTAATCTGCTTGAAATTATTGGAGTCTTTAGTTTGAAACATTTAAAATTTATACTTACCTCGAGATACCTTTGTCGCCATTCTTCGATTCACAACAGAAACGCAAAGAAAATAATTCAAATCTCGTGCAACGTGATCGAATACTTACCATTTAATGGAACATGTACAATAATAATTTTTAGTGATTCACGCATTAGTATAAACTGTATAAAAATTTCTAGAAACAGAAACTTGGCTTTGAAATAGGAATCTCGATAAAAATGTATTCCGATTCTGGGGAGGAGCAACCTGCAAACTCGTAAGAATTCGCGATAAAGAAATTGCGCGAGATCACGAGATTGATAAATTCGATCGCGTCGACAGTGACTGGAGACTGTCACGGCGATTGTCCGGAATGCTTCGACACCGAATGGAAATCCGTAATGGCGTCATTGAAAAATTGCATCGGGTCATCGTGGTACGAGGGTTACCGATGTCGCGTGATAACGCGACATCGTTCGCTTAAGCGGCCCGTGTTTTCCGTCTCTATGCAAATTAGCAGGTGAGCTAATATTGGAACTCGGAAATGGGACGCTCTGTGGACCGGAAATAAAACGAAATCTCGCATAATGGAATGGTATTCGCGCTCGGTGGCTCTTTCATCCGCGATAATCGCGCGCCGCAATTGGCGGCAGGCCTTTTTCGAAATTTATTGCTTTCTATTTTTACATTTCTTCCCCTTCGTTCTTCCCTCTGCACGCGTGAAATATTTTCTTTCGATTCGATGTATTTTCCGACAGAACGATAAATATTCGAGGCAGATGAAAGGAAAACTTGCACGAGGCAAGTTACCACGTCCTAAAATAATAAAACATCGGCGTTTTGAATGAAGTATTCCGACGCTCGTAGAAAAATTTAAAAGAAATATGGTTATAGAATTGAATGTCATTACGTGTAATTAGGTAAATATAAGTTCGTAATGTTGTGGAGTTAAGAATTATTATTGATTGAAAGATATATTTTATGAGATAAAAAATAACGATAAGATGAGACATCCGACAAGTAAATAATCTATCTTTCGGTCTACTCAAGGAGATTCTTATTTCGTTTTAAACTGCGTTGAGTAAAAATTCTTTATCGAATCTTCTTCTTTGAGTAGAAAATATAAGTATAGCTCATTGACACAAGACGAATCTTATACCTCTTGTACAAGAGTCCTCTTGTACAAGAGGAGAGAATGGTATTTGAAGTTTGGTGGAAAGATGCCGGAAAAATAAAGCGACGGTGGGAAAAATAGGATGAAAACAAGCCGTTCTTGGATTATTTTTACAGAAAGATACTCTTTGTCCTCCAGTTTATTTTGCTCGCGACGGAACCTCCCAGAGTAACGCGAACACAGAGTTGTTTTAAAAGATACCTGTCTCTCTGGACAACACGTTAGGAACCAAATGTTTTCTTTTACTTCCTCTCCTTGTTTTCCTGTTTTTGGGGGTTCCTATTTTTTCTTCTTTTCTCCTCTTCTGTCCGCCTTACTGCGATGTATTTAATTTTTTCACGATTTTCCCGTTCTTCTTGGAACTCGACACATTCGAGATCGAGAAGTCGATCAATTCTGACTGTTGCAACAGACTGTTCATTTTGTACTTTAAATTATATAAACTTTAAATCACAGTTCACTTTCAACTTTTATATCCTTTCTTTTATCATTTCGCCGATTTTTATCAATTTTTATGTTATTGGATTAATTTATTTTCTTTTCTTGACAGAAGCATGCATCTTGTCGAAACTCGAATGTGTTAACGTTTATCTCGTCATACTATTATGCGGGACGAAAAATTAAAAGTCAGAAATCGGCAACGAAAGCAAAAGAAAAAGGAAAAAGAAAATACAACAAACCGTTTTGCTTTCTACTTCTAAGTAAAGAGAAATCTCTGTAACGTAAACGATTCAACTCATAAAATGATGCAAAACCAATGAAGGAAACATACCTATGCGTGAATTTCGTTCTTTAATTCGCCGTAAACGTGTGTTTGAAACGAAAGATCGCCAAGGAAAAAGGACGTTTCATTTTTGTTTTTTTTTTTTTTTTATCTCTGTTTGGGGAAGGATCGCAGGAAAGGGATTATTTATCAGTTTCATAGACTAGATCTATATATAATCGTATCGTATGTATATATATATATATCCAATAATATATATATAATATCATTATATCCTTCTTCATCATTTATATTTAGTGGTATAATTAATTACTCGCTTAGATATGAAACCTAATAGGAACATGATTGCACCGCACCCATTTTGCCGTACGATGTTGGTGCCAGATCGCAGATCTCCCTCGCTTCATTCTTAAATTCCTATTTTTTTTTTTTTCGTTTTGTTCTCTCTCTTCAATTACTCTTTATAGGAATAGCGCACGTAAATATGTGCATCACTGTATGCTCGCGTATATTTATATACGTATACAGGTACAGCCATCTTGCATGGCACGTGTGTATGTTTGTGTGTATGTATGCACGTACATACGTGTATATATGTCTGTATGTATGTACGTATGTACGTATGAATGTATGTGTGTCTCTGTGTATGTACGTATGTATGTATGTGTATGTACGTATATATGTAACTCCTGTACGCACGCGAGTACGAAAATGTGTGAACATGTAGTGTGTACGTGTGTACGTGTGTGTGTGCTGTCGTGTGTCGATACGTTCTCGCGCTAGCATGTCGCATTTTCTCTCTCGCTCGCTCAACTCTTATTACTCCTTTTATTCTCTCTCTTTTTTTCTTTTTCACCATTTTCTTTTTTCTATTATAAAATCTAGATGCGCGCGCGAACACACGGGATCTTGCTCGCGCGCACATAACACATATGGCACCATAAATATATATTTGTACACAAGGGTGAGCGTGGGTGGACGAGATGATCAAGAAAGGACGTACGCGATGTCTCTATCTCTCTCGGCCGCGTCTTGCCTTCGTATCGTATCGTTCATTGTCCTCTGTTTGTTGCTCTCTCGCTCCGACGCGACTCTTTTTCTTTCAAATTTAATTAATTTTGACTCGAGTGACAAAAGCGACAAGTGACGTGGTCATGGTCATGGTCATGGTCATCGTATACAGAACGAAAAGAAATCAGACGTGGTAAATTTGGCAGGAACGTGAGAGAATTCTTACGCGATTGAACGTCACGGAGAAATGCAAATCACAAGGGAGACACATCCTCCCTGGAATCTCGTCTGAAAGTTAAACGATCGTCTGCGAAGCAACGAAACACGAGCAAACTTCGAGAACGTACAATGAAAGAAAACGACAATGAGATTCGACGCATCGTGTCTCTCTTGCGCATCTTCGTCAGCGAGTACGAGAAACGTGCTTTTTTGTTTCTTCTTTCCTTTGCGTGCTCGCGCGCCCATTTTCCTTTTTCCCGGTTTATCTCACTTCTTTTTCCCCACTTTTGCCTCCGCGTCTTTGTTTCCTTTCTTTCTTTCTTTCTTTTTTTTTTTTTTTGCCTTACTCGCTCTCCTGTTTCATTTCTCTCGTTTCTTTCTTTTGTCTCGTGTGTGATCGGAGTTATCACCGTCGGCTATTGTTTCCTTTTTTTCTTTTTTCGTTTCGTTCGTCGTCAAGTGTGTGTGTGTGTGTATGTGTGTGGGTCTCCCCGCGCCTCCGCGTGTTTTACAAAAAAAGGGGCGAGGCGCGAGGCGCGAGGAGAGAAACTTCCTCTTTCTTTTTTTTTTTCTTGAAATCGGTATCGCGATCGAGTACTTTGCGACAGACACAGACCACGATCGCTTTGGAAAGGAGAAGAAAAAAAGAGAAAAAAAAAAAAAGAAAAAGAAATTGCTCTCGCACGCAGGGGAACGGATCGCGCGCGGCGCCAACATCGTCGGGATCCTCGAGCCGGCGTTTACGGGGTTGACCGCGCGGCCACGCTGGTTTTTGCACCGGCCTCTTCCGGCCCCCATCGGAGGGCCACGGGGCCCCGTTAGTGAGTACATATAAGATATACACATGGCAATCTCTCACAAGAATTAGTCGCTATCATTATCAATTAGTATCCGTTATTAATTAATAGTCAATGAAAATGTATAGCTCGGAACAAATTCACAATGTCCAATCGGCAATAAATGTGAATCACGGTAATAGTGACAATAATAATAATAATAATAATAATAATAATAATAATAATAATAGTAATAATAATGCTCATAATGCAATATGTAATAATGATAATAATAATAATAATAAACGCCCTTCCAATAATAATAATAATAATCGCAATAGCAATAGAAATCACCAATAGGGTTTTACCAATAAGCATAGTCGTGTTCAACATATTTCATACAAACTCAACGAGATTATAGAAAACTGAAAAACTCTTTCGCCGCCGGCCGCTCTTTCTCTCGTCGAGCATGGAGCAACGTATTTATTTTCACCACCTCTCTGTGTGTGTGTGTGTGTGTGCGCGTGTGTGCGTGTATGTGTGTATGTATGTCCTTCATTTCCCGTGTTCTCCGACGGAGAAGAAGAAGGAAATCGCGATCGGTTTCTTCGATCGGCAGCGACCTTTGTTTTTTCTTTTCTCTTTTTATACGAATCGATCGTCAATGTCGTTTCTATTCCATGATCGAGCTTCCCCTGTGATTTCGGCCGTGTGACCCTGTAAAAAACGCGCAACTGATCGTCCGAATATAGTTTTCATCTCCATTGATCCGTTTTGTAGCTTCTTGTAGATGCTCGTTATTCGGAGCACTCATTGTCGGCTCGTGCGAGCTTCGTCGACGATTGATTATAGCTGGCCGTGGATGGGAAATATCGACGATGGAATAAAAAGGATAGATCACGATCGCGCAGTGTAGCGGTTCTCTAACGGTTTGCGGTAAATCTCGTCGCGCGATCGACGAGAGAAACGGAAGGTGGCGGGCGGCGATTTACACGGGGCGGTGAAAATTTACTCGTAACGCATACTCAATAATAGTTTTCGCATACTCAATTGCATCTCTTTTAGTTCACTCCTTAAATTAATCCGCGCACGCTTATCACTCATTCATCATCATTGTTGATTTTAGGAACAGCTAGTAGCGAGGTTCGTTAACTCTATCACGCAATCTCCCGTACTCGAAACTCAAAACGCCAAAACCGACTCAGTTTTGCGTACACGCGCACGTACGTTGCCGCGTTTTGAGAATTTCCACGCGCGTATATATATATGTGTGTGTGTGTGTGTCTGTGTGTGTGTGTGTACATATATATATACGTTACATCGATTCGAGACCACTCTCGATCTGTTCTTCTTCTTCTTCTTCTTCTTCTTTTCAAATTCACTTCGACTCTCGATGTGTCGTACTCTCTGTGTAATAAATACAGTCTGCTTCACGTGTATCACGTTTAGGTGTTCGTGTATGTAGGTGTGTATGTGTGTGTGTGTGTGCGTGTGTGTGTGTGTGTGGTATATACGTGTCGATCGTTTGAGTACGTGCATGTTTGATGTACATGTCCCGAAACACATTGCGCGTTTGTCGATTTCTCTCTCTCGTGCATTCTCCCATCGTGTGTATCAGCCGCGAATCGATTAGAAAAATTAAATATCCCGCGTGTACACACGTACACGCGTCTATATATATGTGTATGTATACAATTAAAAGGAACACGATGTTGATTCTTTTTTTGTGCGCCAAGGTGCATGTCGGTTCTTTTCTTCGTTTCCCCGTTTCATTCATTTTCTTTCACGTTCACGTTCGTTAGAATGTACGCGCGATTAAAAAGGGACGCGTTCCGGCCCTTTCTCGAAGGTCTCGGCGTCTCGTCTGCTAAGATTAGTGATACCGTGTGTATATTATAGTCGTTCGGTTAACGTCGTTTGCGTTACGCAAGCTTGATGAGAGCGTTCGAGATCAACGAAACGTGGCGGAAGCCGCCACGATTTCCAAAAAGGGAGGGGGGTCTCGCTACATCGTAATCTAGAGATTAACATCTACGCAGGTTTCTTTTTTCTTTTTTTTTTTTTTTCTTTTAATTAGCCCGTGATCACCGGAGATAGTAACAATTGTCCTATTTTGCGAGGTATTGGTTACAAAGATTTTCCTTTCCCTTTCTCGATTCGTTTCGGTGCTCCGTGTTACGATTCAATTAAAAAGGGGATCGCCGCGGAGCAACGCGAAATCATTCCTCGAAATTTCCGTTCTCGTATGTGTGTATGTTCGTGTGTGTATTCGTGCCTCTCACCTTCTTTTCCTCATCAAACTTTTTTCTTTCGATAATTACACACGTGTCTTCGTGTATAAATGCGTGTGTGTAGTCCAAGCACGCGCGCGTGTCTGTGTGTGTGTGTGTGTGTGTGTCGTATGTATGTCACATGTGTGCGTGTCACCGCGTGTGTCCATTCGTTTCAGTTTTAGCTTCTAGTCCAACGCCATAACGTTCTACATAGACAATAATAAATACATGACCACATATATATGTAAATATATAATATCGTAAATCTATAATAATAATAATCATAATAATAATAATAATGGTAATAATAATAATAATAATAATCGGTAATAATCAAATATAATATTAATAATCGTCGTTATCAACGTTTACATTAGAAAAAGCATCTTTTGCAGACAGGAACCTCGAGTTGCTTTAGTTACAAATTACAAATAGTTATTACTCCGCGTTTTCGTTCGACTTCCAACGACCACTACGCGTTTGCGCCCACCTTTCATTCCCCTCTCACCCCCCCCCTAACACCCCCTTCAACCCCTCTCTCTTCTTCCTAATTTACTTTCCACGTATAGTCGGGTAGTACCCTCTCTCGTATTATACCATACCTTCGCTTTGTCGTTACGCTCGTCGTTGTTACGATCTCTTTACCTTCGGTTTCGTTCTCTCACTTTCTAATTCCTCTTCCTACGTGTGAGGTTGAAAATTTTTCGGAGCGCGATCCGTACACGTTTCTTTTCTCACTCTCTCTGGTTGTGCACGTGCGGTGGCACGACTCCCACTCTCCGTTCTTCCCCCTCCCCAATCCCCACGTTCACGGTTTTCCTTTTGTCGTGTTGTGATGCATTCTTTTTAAACAATTCGATCGTTTCTTCGCGTTCTATGTACGTATGTGTGTGTACGTGTGTGTACGTGTGTGTCCGTATCTCTGGTTAAGTGAAAGCATGCTTGAAAAATGAAACAAAACGCGATAAACACGACGTACGTACGCGCGTATACACGTCACCGTTTCGGACATTACCCGCGAGGATTCTAGTACGTTACAACATCATATATTTATATATAATATATATATATATATTTATATAATTTTCTACATAAATATATATATACTTTTTTTGTTCATTCATTTTATTCATTTATTTATATATATATACCTTTTTTTATATATATATATATATATATACCTATGCATGAGTGTGTCTTGTGTGTCGTCTACCGATGCATATTCTCCCATATTCCCCTTAAAATCTACAGTTTAGTTGTAATTAACCGTTAACTTACGAGCTAGTAGTGGATTCTTTGTCGTTCCCGAGTAGACCTTTACAAAAATCCCGTGTCCGTCGATCGAGAGCTGACCTTTTGTATGTTTGTTTCTTTCTTTCTCTTATGTTTTCCTCTGTCGTGCTTAGTGGCGTGCTCATTTCTTTTTTTCTTTCTTGTTTTTCCCTCGTAAATCACGGTAACTGAATTCACGCATGCGCGGACACGCGCTTTTCGTTCGGTAAATCACGAAATCAGCGCAATCCGCGTCGCGCGATCCTTCATTTCCCCGAATCATTTCCCAGCGAGAGAGAACGAAAAAAGTTCTCGCCGCCGGCGATTTTCTCTTGAATCACTTTGGATCAGCACTGCGCTCGATCGCGGTGTCCGGTGCACGGCTGACCGATCTACGATCAATCGTCGACCGATTAACTAGCGATTATATCGATAGCTATCGATAGCTATAACTATTTACCGTTATTACTATCATTATTATTACTATGTTTATTATTATCGTTAATATTATTATTAATCGTTAGGTTTTTTTTTTAGCGTTATTAAATATAATTTATTAAATATAGGAACCATGTTGCTGGGTCTTTGCTTGTGTTCGTGAACGCGAACCGTATCGCGACGGGCACCGGGGCAACTTGCCCTCTCGCGTTTTCCTTTCCTTTTCTCCCTTTTCCTTTTCTCCGTTTCGTTTCGTTTCGTTTCGTTTCGTTTCGTTTCACTTCGTTTCTCCTCACTCAAAAAAATCTACCGTTGTTTTCATGCCAGACTATTCTTCTTTACGAGCATACTATTTTCACGGCCAGACAAATATGAACGGAATTCACGTTGAAATTCGCGCGCCGGCAGCGACGTTTATTACGCGTACTATAGTACCTAAAAGGAACCCCTCCCAGCCGCGGGGTTACCGTGCCCTGTGGGTGTTTTTCTCGAAACTATAGAATGAATATTACTAGGCTCGTGTATGCGTGTATGCACGTGTGTACGTGTCACGAGTGAGTGCGTGTGAGTGTGCACGTGTGCGCGTGCGTTTTCTCCCCATTTTCTTTCTTTCTTTCTTCCTTTCTTTCTTTTTTCTTTTTTTTTTTCGGAGGAAAAATCCTTCCAGCCACCGATTTTCAATTCGATAGATCTTTCGATCGTCCTCCGACACGTGAACATCTCTGGCCTCTATGTCGTATGTACTTTCGTATGTTTGTCGTCCCTTGCTTCCATCCCTTTCGCGAATCCCCTTTCCTCGATCAAAAAAAAAAAAAGAGGAACTCGCGTCGACTTGATTTTTCTTTCGTCTCGTGATTCCCTTTCGTTTTATGTGTTTTCTTTTCTTTTTTTTTTTTGTTTTTAAAGCAAAGGCGCTCATCTTTCTTTCTTTTTTTTTCTTTGTGGTCATCGTCAGTGAACAACGCTTCACCTGGCTCTCGCATCATTCTTAACACACACTTCTTACGCAGTACCACCCATACACACGCACGTAAAAAGAGAAAGAGAGAGATAGAGAGATAGAGAGTGAAGATTCATTTTTTTTTTTCTTTTCATTTCTTAGAGATGAATATGTACGTATGTATTCGTAACGAGCGCGACGCTATTAGTTTCGCGAACGCCGCGCCGACTACCCTACTACGTCGCGTTCTTAAATGTCTGTTCGCCCGTTTTAGTAACTTTTTTTTTTCTTCTTTTGTTTCATTAAATCTTTATTATTACTTTACATAGGAACGTTTAAATCAGCCCACCTCGACGAGCGTCATCACGGCGTCGTCGACGCTCATTCTTTTCCTCTCCTCCACGTGTCATTCCTCTTCGTCGTCTCGTCGCAGCTTCCGCGCCGCCATTTTCATCCACCGAACCTAATCACGCAGCGATTGACGCACAGTCGTCGCACGGATAGGGACGTAGGTATCGTTTAGTCGCAAGAAAACGACGAATACGACATCGAGAGAATCGTTCGTTTCTCTTCGAGTCGTGCCCAAACTCAGTTTGTTTCTCAGTTGCCGACAACAACAAGCCGATAATCGTCCGCTCGTTCGTTCTACCATTTTTCCTTTCTTTCCCCCCGCCCCCTTTTTTCGTTTCTTTTCAATCGTCCGTTAACGTTAACGTGTCCCCCAATTTCCGAAACATTCATCATTCTTTCTATCGAAGGAACTTTTGGTGAGCGCGCTGCTTTGGTGGCACGCTACGTGTGTACATACATTGTAACAAAAATATTAGTTAAATTGGTGATTGCGCGCGCGACAGTGGCCGTGCGCGGCCCGAAATTAAAACGAGAGTAAAGAAGAAGAGGTCCACTACACGCGGCATCCTCGTTTCGATTGGTCCACCGTCCACGCGCGAGTATTCGGAGCCGGGGATTCCCCGGTGCCCGGAGCGGAAGAAAAAGCCCCCTCACCGACAGTTCCTGACCTAGGTTGGAACCCCCTCCCCTTTATCTAGCCAGTTAGGAACGTTGTTTGCTTCTTCCGTTATCGTAGTATCTTTCTCTCTTTCGAAGAAGAGCACCCATCCGACACACTCTCTCTACCAGTATCCATTTTCTTCACCCTTGTCCTCTTCTTCGCGTCTCTCCGCTTCTTTCCTCCCGATGAAATCGCTTCGACCTCAGGATCAGGATCAACCTCAGATTCGATGGCTCGCTTTCTCTCTTTCTTTCTCTCTCTCTCTTTCTGTGTGTGTATCGTAGCACCTCCTCTGCGCGACGATCCTCCTCCCACGTTTCCCCTCCGTTTTTATTCGCTTCCGTTGTACCTGCGTTTAACGCGCGCCAGCCAAAGCAGCAACCTCTTGGACCAGTTTCTGCCTCTTGACGTCGGGAGCGTTATTGTTGTCCTGGCTCGTTGCCCTCTCGTTAGCCTGCGGCTGGCCGGTGGTGCTCTCGGCGGCCGCGCGAGCAGCCAGCAGGGTGATTTGATTCACCACGTCCTCCATCTCGTCCGTGAGCGGGTGCACCTCCTCGCCGCACTGTCCGCCAGATTCCCCGCCGATATTGCCAAACTGTTGTTGTTGGTGCTGTTGTTGTTGCTGGTGCTGTTGGCTGGCCTCGAGGCGAGCCCGATGCTGCAACGTATCAGCGTGACGCCGCCACTCGGTGATGGTCGTGTACGTTCTCGTCGGTGGGTTCCCGTCGCAGATGGAACAGGCGTAACGAGATTGAACGAGGCGCAGTGCACCGCGACGCTGCTGATTGCCGAGATAGCAGGAGCGTTGGTGAGCGAGCAGCGTCGATTCCTGCGGATAAGCCCGACCGCATCGGCGACACACCAGGCACAGCTCCGTCTCGACTTCCCGGCAGTGCTGCGGCGGCCCGTTCTCGTCGGAGCCGCACGGTGGCGTCGGCAATCGCACCGTCTCCAATCCCGGATGGTTCGGGTCTTGCTGTAGGAACGCCTGCATCAAAGAGCGCGGCACCTGGACCTGGCTGCCCCCTTCCACGTGCAACGACATCAGCCCATTCCCGTGCATGCTGCCGCTCAAACCTGGAGCCGCTACTGGAAACAAGCAAACAGATAGACGCCGTTAGCAGCTTTCTTTCTTCTTGTCACGTTGCGTTATACTATGTATCGTACAATATTCACGTCGCGAATTTTGGCAAATTCTTTTTGGTCAATTCTACGGACACGCGACACACATCCATCCATGCACTATCATACAAGTTGGGTCTCATTTGTTCGATCCTCTCGAAGGTTAACCAGCTGGCAAAGTTGAATTTCATACGTGTAGTAAAAGTTCGTTGACACTGCCGCGATATCTATTATACGATCTTTCGTTCGAACTACTCCTTTAAATAAATGGGATTTAAATTCTAAATACTACGGAGTTTGCATTAAATCCTCAGGAATATATCGGAAATTTATATCCAAGAATTTATACGCGGACTGTGTAAATTTCTATTACACGCTTACCGACGCTTATTAGAAGCCAAATCGATCAACTCTCTTTTCGAAAGATTTCGTAGTTTCACATATGTCAGTCTAGCTTTAGATCATTCGAACTTGTCATTTCGTAACCCGTCGTACCGTCATTTCGCCACCTACCGAGGTAATTCTTCCATCGAGCGAGTCTCCAAACGCGGACAGAGCACAGCCACGGCGGTTATAATTGATTTGTGCCGACTTAGTTGTCATAATAACGTCAACGATGTAACCAGCGGGGAATTTATATGGAACCTGTTTTTGCTTCTACGAGACAGGTAAATTGGTAGTTATTAGCCTGGCCGCGGGGCGACGCGCATTGACGGGATAATTCCTCCGCCTCCAGAAAGGAGCTCAATGTCACTCCCTGCCGACTCGCCGAACCGTGACATCATCTGTCCGCCGATAATTTCAATTAGAAAATTATCATTGTTGTTCCGATATGAATCGAACCTTTCTCGAACAACAATCTCCAGTTTTTGTATTCCTAAGTGATCGTACGTTTTGATTTGGATGGAACGTAGATGCATATACACATTCTTCAATTAGCCAAAGTTGATTACGAACGACATCGAAAAGGGAACGGTTTGATAAATGTTTCTCAGAATTTTTAGAACTTGTGTTTAATTGAAAGTTTGGAGCAGTATAAAGATACTTGGAATCTGTTTTGTGCCCTTGAGGAAGACAAGCTACTTGATTGAATTAAAAAACAGAAAGACAACAAGGATCGTTGTGAGAAGCAGAGTGAAGATAGAAAAGAAACTGTGCCATTTCAGATAGAGAATTGCAACAACGCAAGGTGCAAGGAAACTGTCAGATTTAGATGATTTATCTCCTAAATTAAAAACTGACAACACATTATTTAAAACACCGAAACATAAATTATGTAAAGATTTAGAAACAAAGTTAAATTGTGTATCAAATAAATACTTGAAGCAAGAAAATATTCTTTCTGTTCTGACAAATATTTGAACAGTGAAACTTCGGTGCTTCTATATGAGAAGAAGAATCTACAGAGAAAGAAGATCTTTCTTTTGTATAAGAACATTCATCTGTGAATGTCAAGGATACAAGTCTTACTCAGACGAATAAACAGATAAATAAGTCAAAGAACGCATATTTTGCGAACCAACGTCAATCAATTAATTACATTTGAAAAGAGACGCGATTCTCACTTGTTGTTCAGTAAAACACTCGATTATTTACTCTGTTCCTGCACTTAGGATTACTCGAGTTCTCTGTTTCTCGTTTGAAAAAGAACGAGCCAGCAGTGCTTATAACGTAATGTAAGAGCAAAAGTATGCAAATTTCATCGTGTCGAAATTTAACTGATTCAAACAACCCCACTCGTCCCGTTGAAGACTCACGAGCGTTGAAGACTCGGCCGAGCTATTTTTCAAGAAAATATAGCGAGGTGTGGCAATGCGTTTCAACGCGAGATTCGTTCGAGCGATCCCGAAGAGACGTTCGAACGATCCTCTGAGCGATCTCGGAGCGATCTCGGATCTCGTGGTCGGGGAGGAGGAGGAGGACGCGTTGTTCGATGTCGATTAGGCGGGTTGACAGGTTTACGCAGTGACGCGTATGGGTATATCGCGTATCGTGTATCAGACGAGGAGTCGTTACGAGGCAGGAAGTGTTAATGATACCCCTGCTCATTCGCTGGACGCTCGCCTGTAATTATCCAGGCTTGGTGGGGCGCGAGCAAGCCTGGACGAGAGAGCGGAATACCAGGCAGGATATCATCTCTGTCCCTCTCCCTTTTAGTCCGTCTGTTCCGTGTCAACGTGGAATTGATAGTTATTAGAGTCGAAGACCATGCTCGCCGAGCCACACGGCCAACGTGGCATTCCCTTCTTTTAACCTGAGAACTTCTGCCATGCGAAGTGTGGATTTAGCCCTGTTTGGTTAACGCTTTTACCGTCTTCCTCCTCCTCCTCCTCCTCTTCTTCTTTTCGTTCATTCGAAAGCTTCCTTTTCTCGGTCGTTGGCAATTCGCGGACCCCGTGGATTATGGTCTCGCGCGTCGATCGCGCGTCCGCATAATCCGTGTTTTTATGTCCTTGAAACTTCGAAAGGACCTTTCTTGGAAGGTGTTTGCGTTATAAAGAAGGGAGAGAATTGTTACGGATTAACGCGGTATTATCCGCTAGAGTGTACACGTAGTTTAGGAGGAGACGTTGTTGAGAAATTTGGTGAGAACTTCAGTTACATTCTGGCGAATTTGTTTATATAAATGGAGAAAGGACAATTCAGTTTTTGGATATGTTAAGTATATTCTACGCACATGTTTTTTTTGCACGTATTTGGATAAACATCTTATGTAGATAGTTTGACATTTTGAAGGCAATGGAATAAGTTTCACGATTCATTTCTAATCTAGAGTATCTAGAGAATTCTGGAAATTGCACTCGAGTAATGGAGGAATATTTTCTTTAAAGAATCGAAATTCGATCGCGCGACAAAGAAGGAGCACGCGAGTAATCGTACGACGAGCGGAACCGTCCAGATGTCGACGATCGCTGCTCCCGTCTCCGTGAATTAAGCGTAACAATTTCGTGGAACGCGCAAGCAGTCGCGCGTCCACCGGGGACTTCAATCTCGTGGCGACTAACGCGACTTAAAACGCTTCCTCTCGAAACAATCTTCGCCGAAACGATCTCCTCGTCGACGATAATACACGTCGAGCAACGCGTACACGCGCTCGTCTCTTCAAAAAGTAACAACAACTTGTTTAATAACTGAGATCGGTAGCCTAAGCTTCGAAGAATTTTAATTTCTGTATCTCGTGCCAGTTGTCTGACCTGTGACTCATCCAGCAAGATAATTGCAAAGTAATTTTTGCAGTTGCATAATTTTATTCTTCTTTAAAAGTATCTCCGCACCAATAGCTTTTTTTTACATTTTTGTTTGGTATTCTCATGTTCACTTGTACTTCAATTACAAATCATAGAGCAAAATTATATGATGAAAATAAGATTCTATAATATTTTAATTACATTAGAATCTTCGTATTCTTAATAAAAAGGAGCCAGGGTCTAATTCTAATGTTAAACACTGTTGATAAATCTAATTAAAAAATTTCGTTGTAAACTTTAATTAATTAATTATGTACGTCACATCGTGCATAACATAGTTGGTATTAATTTAACATCATTGAACAAATTTTATGAATTATCACGTAACTTTTTAAAATTTTTTCTTTATAAAATATATTAGAATGCTTAAAAAGAAACTTGATAGATAGATATTATTTATACAAAAATATTAGGTTGCCCAAAAAATAACTACGCTTTTTTGTGTGCAGATGCGAGGCGAATTTTTATTAATATATTGACCATTTTGTCCGATTACCTTTCGCCATCTTTACGATTCCCCGATTCAAAAATGTTCTTACCTTTTTTCTCGAATAGAAAAATGTCCCAAGAATAGAATTTGATACTCTCATCAGCAGTGAAATTTAGTAAACCAATTCTACATTATCGTGATTTCATTTTTCCTTCTCTTTTTTTTTTTTTTTTNTTTTTGATTTTGAAATCAAAGCCAAGCAAGTAAATTGTCCACAGAATCGTGCATTTCTCCATGTCAATCAGGTATCAGATTACATGAAGATGAATTGTCGTTTAAAACAAAGATATACATGTTCATCTATTGAAAAAAAAAAAAAACGTAGTCACTCTTTGGCCAACATTTTATAAGGAGACGAGTCAAGTTCGCGGGGTCTCTCTCGAGGCATCAAGGTCACCGCATGGGCCTCACCGCAACCCCGAATAAGCTAATGTAATAAGGAAGAGCGGTCGAGTGACGCGCAGTAGATCGCGCAGCTGTCCCGATCCGTGTGACACCCTTGAAACAATCGGCTCGGCCGAGAGAGAGAGAGAGAGAGAACCGAGGGGTTATTACTCTTAATGAGCACTGGTTATTTCTTTGAGTGGCTCTGATTTGCCCTCTCCCTCCGCCCTGTGTTGTCGCGGCTCTCCTACTTGCCCGTGCGTGTACACGCGCGCGCGTGAAACACGCACGAGGTGAGCACACACGCTCGGTTCTCTCGGCCGCTTTTACACGCGCGTCGCTCTCGCCTCTCTCGTCTCCTTAGAGGGCAGGAGGAGCTCATTTGCGTACGGATTGAGATAGTAGTGCTTCGGTACCACCTCGATGTATGTTTTTGTTTAAATGTGTGACTACGTACGAGATTCTGATTGCCGGCCGCTCCCAGCTCCGCAGCGGCTCTCAGTATTCCCTCGGTCACGTTGACCCCGTAAATTGAGATGTACAGGGGAGAAACAATTATTGATGGCATTTTGAAAAATTCCCCTTGGAACTTGCAATTCTTGGAGATTGATGCTATCTCTTTGTAACAAGCGAATTCACGAAAATGAGATTTCTTTTCTCAGATCCTCACTCGGATAACGCGAGACTGATAACTCTGTGGAAAGTAGAATTGTAGAGGATTCTTTCTTTTTTTTTTTTTTTTGGTAAATTTATCTAGATACTGTCTAAATTTTTCAAAAGAGCAATCGATAAATAAATTCTACAAATTGATTTATTAAAGCAGAAGCTAGAATGATTGATATTAG